TGTGTGTGTGTGTGTGTGTATGTATGTATGTATGTTTTTGTACCGGAGATTGAACTCAGGTCCTTGCGCTTGCGCAGCAGGCGGCGAAACTACTGAGCTAAATCCCCGGCTATTTATTTATTTTGAGACAAGGTTTCTCTAAGTCATTAAGTTGCCCAGGCTGGGCTCAAACTTAGGACCTTCCTGGCTCAGCCTCTCAGAGTGCTGTGATTATATGTATGCGCCACCACACCTGGCTATTTCCATCTTTAGGCCGTTGTGAATAATCAGATTTTTTAAACTGTTGCATAGTTGTCCATCAATTGGACATAGCATAGTTTACTCAAACACTTTCTACCGAAAGGATGGTTCTGCTCTCTCATTTTCTGATAACTCAAAAACATGTTACCACAACTTCCTTCTAGTCTTCCGTAAGAGGTAGTCAAAACTTACCCCATTTCCTCTGGAAATTATCCAACAGAAGCAAAAAGTTAGGTTGACAAAGATACTAGTTGCAGCAATCTTTACAGGCACACAAATCAGGAACTACCTGAGAGTTCCCAATATGGACCTATTCAGATAAATTCTATTGTTAAATGAAATAATATACAGTCCTTAAAAATGATAATTATGAAGACAACATAGCAGCTATGCTAATGGTGAGAAACAACCACAACACATTGGAAATGGGCATCACATGTGTATGCTGGCCCCCATAACAATAAGAAGGAAGCTGGGAACCAGATCCACACTTGCTACCCAGGAGGAGCAGCCTGGGAACCATTGCAACCCTGCATCTACTGAGGATACCAGGAAGGAGGCTGCTCACCAGAGGAAGGAGGGTTCTTCTCCCAGGTGATGAAAGGGATATGAAGTTGCAGATCCCCAGGCTTTGGAGGTTCCACTCTTTAGGTCTTAGGAGGGGTTTCACAGCTGGGCTGACAGTGATGAGAATCACGGACCCAGGTTGTCTCAAGGGCTGTGAAGGTAACGGGTGACCTGTTGTGATGGATGCCCTCTAAACTTCCTGTGTGCCATGATGGAGTCTTGCCTTTCCTCAGGATCTGGGGCAAAGGCTGACTTCTCAGAGTGTTGCCTGATACTGTACTTTCCAGAGGACTGGCTGCAAGGACATTCAACTGTAGCAATTGTGAACACATTTAACTGAACCAATCATGTGAACCTTTCTTAAAAAACATGCTTCCTATAATCATGTATTTTTCAATCATTGCCATTAAGCACACACGATGTAACAAAACCAATGATGAATATGTAGTCTTCAAAGTACCATGGGAGAAATTCAGCCCCAATGGAGTATGTTGGTTGATAGCTTATTTTTTTGTATGTTTATAGCTGTGATTTTTTTGTATTAAATTCTTTTATTGGTACATTGTAGGTATACAACACAATTACATTTCTCATTGGGAATTGTACCTTTACATAATGCATCTTGGTTCTTATTTTTTCCCCATTCCTAGCCCTCCCTTCACGCCCTCCACCCTTCCCCATTTACAAAGACTTTATTTCCATTTTTTCCATTTCTCATCATTTTTTCCTTTCCCTTCTTTCCTTTCCCCTGCCCCTCCCACTACCCCTACCCCTTTGGACCTTTTCTTCCTATTTTACATTATCAATTATTCATTCTAATCATTGGTACATTTTAGGTATACAACATAATGACATTCATCATTGGAAATTTGCACCTTTACATAGTCTCTCTTGGTTCTTATTTTTCACCCTTGCCCAGCCCTCCCTTCAACCACTCCAGTCCTCCCTGTTTACAAAGATTTTGTTCCTATTTTTCCATTTTCTCACATTAATCCCATTCCCTTCTATCCTTTCCCCTAGCCCTCCCACTTCCTTCCCCTTTGCCCCTTTTCTTCCTATTTCACATTACCTATTATACATTTAGTCCTTATTTACACTTTCAGTTTCTCACACCAGAGAAACTATTTGGTATTTACACATGTGTGTCCTATTTATTTCACTTAAGAGTATTCCCTCAATGTGCATCCACTTAGCTATAAATGTCTCTAATTTCTCATTTTTTATGGCTGGGTAGTACTCCACTTTATAAAAAAACCACATTTTCTTTATCCAGTCTCCAGTTATAGCTGTGATTTTTATATAATAATTTTGTTGTATTCTGCATAAATTGTAATGTTATAGTTCTACAGTATATACTAATATATGATTTTTGTTAAATTAAAAATCTGTATGAAGGAACATATAAGACTAACATTTTCCAGTGTTCTGTAAAGGACACAGTGGCGTTCAGATGCTCTGCTACCAGCCTCCATTCAACTTCACACCCATGAGATGATCACCAAAATGTTCCCAGTCTGAGAGGGAAAGCTTGATGTTGTATTAGTTAGAGTCACAGTTACAGTGCTATAACAGAGAGTCCAAAATATATTGGGCCAAACATGATCAAAATTTATTTCTCTCTTCCAAAATCAAACAGCCAGGCTATGTTGGTGAGATGGCTATGCTATAAACAGGCACAGTTTCCTCATTACTCTGCCATCTCCTGCGGGTAATCATTTGCTTAATTAAAGCTGGGTTGCTACTCCTGGGAAAGAAGAAAGAACTAGCATCTAAGAAAAGGAGCTTAAGTTTGGAGATGATCCAGAAAATGTCCACATTACCTCTTTTTCTATCCTTCGTGTCCACTCTGAATCACATGGCCATATCCAGCTCAAGGAAGGTTAGGAAAGGTAGTCCCTCACTGGGCAAGTATGCCCATGAAGAGACAGAGGAAGGGTTTGAGGAGCGGCCAGGGATTCAGCTCAGTGGTTCCACCTCCTGCCTCACAAATACAAGGTCCCGAGTTTGATTCCCAGTACCAAAAAAAAAGGAAGGATTTGAGGAAACAAGTAACCATATGCTACAGAGATTTGTTTTAATTTAAAAAATTACACCATGAAAGAATCATATCACAATCTTATCTAACTACTGACTCTTTTCTGTGGTACCTCCCACTTGATATGTACATATTACATTTACTTATAAAGGTGTAAAAACAGTGTATATGCAGTTTTACATTCTGCCAACAGTATGATGCTGAGGAAATGATTTTTTTTAAACACAGTCCTAAACACTGGGGAGAAAATGGAGAAATGGCCACTCTCAAATGTTACTAATGAAAGTGTACATTTGTAGAATTTTTTCTGGAGTGCAGCTGGTGATATATTTCAAAAGTTTTACAAACTTAACCTCAGGAAAATTAGAGATGGGGATACCAACTTGTATAAAAGTTTATTCATCAAAGTCTTGTTTATAATGCTAAAAACTGGAAACAACCTAAATATCCAACAACAGAGGATTAAGTAAATAATGATTCATCTATCCGTATGCTGGACTGTTACGCAGCTACTGGCACTACACTCTTGAAGAACATTAGTGCCATGAAAACTCTGATAATATTTTAAGTGAGAAAAGCACCTTGCAAAATAGAATATATGGGGCCAGGGATTTAGCTCAGTGGTTCTGGCACCTGCCTTGCAAGCACAAGGTCCCAAGCTCGATCCCCGGTACCAAAAAAAAAAAGAATATATGTTTTCATTCTAATCTTTTGGCAAAAACTATCCAAACACATAAAAGTACTAGAAGAATACAGTATTCATCAAGAGGTCAACAGTGGTTCTGGGGGAGTGGTATTACCAGTGATTTTTACTTCTTTATTCGTTCTTTTTCGTATTTTTCAACTTTCTTTACAAAGGCATATATTACTTTTATAAGAGAGTTTATTTAAAGCATTGAATTTCTACCACATTAGAGCAGGGTAGGTCCTTAGCAACCAGCCCCTCATGTTCCAAATGGGGAAAGGGAACCCCAGAGACAGTGAGTGAATCACCGAGGTAACACAACTAGTCAAAACTGGGATTTGAACTGAGGTCATCTGTCTTGAAGCCTGTATTCATATCACCCTGTCATACTAAAAATAACTTTTCTACAAACAACTTGATTCCTGGCAGCTTCGTCAGTATTGAGGTATATACAAAACAGAGTGCTGGCAAATCCTTAGATAGTTGAAAACAAAATAACTTAAAACACACACCCCAAATTTCTGGTACAACCAGTATTGATAAGGAAATATTCACTGGGAAAACAAACATTCATGTTGGTAGAGATAGGATCTAAGTACTTCTTTCATTCAAAAAATATTTGTTGAGAACCTACTACATGCCATGTTTGTCACCCTAGATCCCTGAAACCAATGGTGAGAGATATAATTCTTGCTCTTATGGTACTTGCAGTATCTAAATTCTTCTAATATTTGTTGAATACCTACTATACACTATACATTTTCATTGGCCTTTGTCTATGTCCTACAACAAATAATATTAACTCCCACTTCCTGAGTTAGGGTCCAACGTTTTTTGGGGGGGTGGTTTGAGACAGGGTCTTGCTATGTAGTCCAGGCTGGCCTTGAACTCACTAGGTAGCCCAGGCTGGCCTTGAACTCACAGATAGTACTGCCTCATCCTCTGAAGTGCTGGGATTATAGGTATGCACCACCACACTGGGCTAGGGTTTAACTTCAATCACTGTAACAAAACACTATTTCTAATCTCACAACCATATAGAAAGATAGGCATCACTAATTCCATTTCACAGATAAGAGAACTGAGAATCAGCGATATTAAGTGGATGTCCCAAGGTGATATAGATAGAAAATGGCAGAGCTTTTTTTAATGAACATTTCACTGCTCTTAACCTAGGTTTCTGTTCTCAATACTGTAGCCTCACTCAGTAGCACCCACTCATCTCAAAGCCTAAGGCCTAGGATGCAATGAAGCTATTTAGACTTCCTGCATTTACTAGGATGTAACCCAAGAATCCTCCATTTTTCATATCTGGTTAGGAACCACTGCCTTAATCTGAGACCTGGAATCCTACAGTTCAATCTCAAGAAAAGAACTGTGCCCAGCTCTGTTCCCACTAGGGGACAACATAAGCCAGGATGTTTAGAAAAGCAGAACACAGTTGAAGGAAGTGGAATCATTGATGATATTCACTTATATTCTAGACTAAGAGTGAAGGCCTGCTAGGCACGAGGCACTGAGCTACCTGTAACTCTTCAATTTACAAACTAGGAAAGGTGCTTTTACAATGTGGAGATTAAAAAGTAGGGCTGGCATATTTTGCAGCTTTTCCTATTAAGCCATGGAAATTTGTTAACCCACCCCTTGATTCTGGGCTTGAGTCCTGACTTGCTTTGAGCAAGAGAACATGTTACAGTGCCTTCCGAAGGTCTGGAGTCTAGACCTTGAGACCTTGCTGCCTCTACCTCTGGTCACTTGGGAGATTCTCCCATTGGGTACATAAGTCTAGGTTGAAATGACATATGGAGGCCCAACTGTCCTGCTGGAGGCCCCAGAAACCTGGAAGAGGCCATCTTGGACCATGCCCCCCAAGACCTGCCTCCAGAACTGCAGCTGCCTAGTTGAGCCCAGGTGACCCCAGCCAACCCCATCAACCCATGAACTATGAGAAATAATAAACCACTGTTTTAAGCAACTAAGTTTCAGAGTGGATTATAACATGGCAATGGATAACTGATAGAAGCAGCAATGCACAGAGGAGTTTTCATTTATTTGACAATTATTTACACACAGCCTACTTTGTATTAAGTATTATGTCATTTGAAGTTTTGGGGATCTATACCTGTGGAACAAAGGTAGGAGACCCCAGTCTCTTATGGGAAAAAGACAATAAACAAGTAAACCCCTAGATATATAATCTTATAAGGATATGTGTGCTATGACAATAAACAAAGCAAGTAAAGAGTTGGAGAGTGATTGTTATTGGTGATGAATAGAGGTTTTGGACAAAGTGGGCATGGAAATCTCTAGAAAGATGAATATTCCTGAGTACTAACAAGGAGAAAAACTGTGAAGATTTGGGAGAGGTATGTTTCAGGCAAACGGAACAGTAATTACAAAGACCCTGAAGCAGGAAAAAAAATCTTAATATACTCAGAATACAGCCTGGAAGCCAGTGGGATTGAGGAAGGTAACATTTTAACTTATTTAGAATTGCTCATATTTCAATTTTCCCATCACTCAATACAGGGTAATGTCAGCCACTTACAAATTTACTAAATGCTAACTCAAAATGGATATCACTCTAAAGTACTTGTCAAAATATGTTTAAAGGGTTTTTCCCCCCTGGATTTTGAATCAGTAAGCTATTTTCCACTTTTCTTTAATTCTTATTGTCTTTAGTTCTCTTAAAATATTGAGAACTCTAGGATGAGGGATTTAGCTCAGTGGTTTCGCCACCTGCTGCGCAAGCGCAAGGACCTGAGTTCGGTCCCCGGTACAAAAAAAAAAAAAAAAATTGAGAACTTGATTTTCAGATCTAGACCATCTTTTCAAAGAATACTATATGGGTCCAAAACATAAAATAAATAATTAGGGCTCTACGGATAGAAACTAATACTGGGTGTCTCCCCTAAACCCCTAAAGTTCTGGAGAAATTATTTAAGTGAAATGGAGGGATGAAGTTGAAGAATTCACCAAACATAGTATAAGAAGCCTCTGGGGAGACAGCAGTCAATCTGGAATTGATGTGTGTCCTGGAGTGGTGGGAGGTGCTGAGGTTTGGGTGAAGGCTAATGGAAGAGACAGAGAGAAGACAGGCTGGAGGAAAGCCTGGGAGGTTGGCGACTGCCTCACTCAGGTGTTGTCTCAAGTCATCACTGGCAACCTCTTTTTTTTAGAAACCAGCAGTCAAGCCAGAACCTGTGGATCAGCCAACCAGGAAGCAAAAAGCTCCTTTTTCTGGGAGAAAACAGAGTGGAAATAGAGATCCCACCCAGGGAGACTGCCTCCTTCCTCCCCATGCTGCCTCTTCCCAAGCATTTGAAAGGTAAATCCCTGACCAGAGGTTGAATCCCATCTAGAAAGGTGGTATTAAACCAGAAGGATCAAAAGGAATTCTGTGGCCAGATATGGTGGCTCATCCGTGTAATCTCAGCTACTTCAGAGGCTAAGGCAGGAGAATCACAAGATCAAGGCCAGCCTGGGCAACTTAGCAAGACCCTATCTCAAAAACAAACAAACAAAAAAGTGTTTTAAAAAAGCAAGTCTGTGGATCTTGGATTTTTGTGACTTGGGGTTTATCTCCTCCTCTCCTTAAGTCCAGTGGGAAGAGCACAGACCAGAACCTGGTCCTCAGTGTCCCCCTAAACACTACTATATAGAGCAACCAATGTCCCAGGGGAACATGAGCTCACAGACCAAACTAATTAGCCTCCTGAGGAGGACAACACAGCAAAAAGACAACAAACATCTACTATCTGAAGCCAAACTCCTGGAATAGACCAGCCAAGAATATGCATGATAAATATGCATTCAACTGAGCCAATCATGTGAGCCTCTTTTCAAAAAGGAAGAAATTAAACTCAGGAAAAAAAGGAATTTAAAAATACAAAGCAAAAACAAGAAATCATTTTTACCTCTTTAATGAAGTATAATGAACATGTGATAAAGTGCATCATGTGAAGCACTCATTTTAATGCGCTTCAACATAGCATCACTATGTGAAACAAACCACCACTACAATCAAGATAATGAACACTTCCATCACCTCTGAAGATTCTTCTTGACCTTTTGTCTTAGATCATTTCAGGCTGTAATAACAGCACAGTTTAGAAAGGGTGCTTTATAAACAGCAGAAATTTTATTTCTCATGGTTCTGGAAGCTGGAAGTCCAAGGTCAAGTTCTATATAAGAGCCAGCTTTTTCAGAGACGTGAAGTCACTTTTATGATGCACAAAGGGCTCCAGCCTTGTGACCTAATCGCCTCCCACAGCCCATCTCCTAATCCTATCACCTGGGGGCTTGGGATTTCAACATGTGGATTTGGGGCGAATACAAACATTCAGACCATGGCATCCATGTAACCTGTCCTTTCCTCCACCTCCATCCCAGATAACCACTGAATAGCTTTCCATTGCTAGGGGTAAATAATATATATTACATATTATATTAATAATATGTAATAAATTAATAATATGTAATGTATTATTTTAATAACATGTAATAATGTGTAATGGGTAATACATTAATGTGATACATATTAATATGCAATATTATATTAATAATATGTAATATGTAATAACATGTAATATAGTAATAATGTGTAATATATATTAATAATATAATATATGGGGATATATATGTGTGTACATATATAATTTGCCTTGTTTTATCTGGTTTATTTCACTCAGCATAATTTTTAAGTTCATTCCTGGTATTGTATCTATTGAGAACTTTTCTTTTTTATTGCTGAGTAGTATTCTATTGTACAGATATACTGCAATTTGTTTATCCATATATCTGCTAATACACACCTGGAATATTTCCAGTTTGGGGCCTATTGTAAATAAAACTGTTATAAATATCTATGTTCAAGTCTTTTTATGGATGTGTGTTTCTATTTCTTTTGGGTAAAAAAGGAATGGAATGGCTGGGTCATATGGTAGATGCTTGCTAAAACTTTTTTTTTTCAATTCTTTTATTGGTACATTTTAGGTATACAACACAATTATATTTCTCATTGGGAATTGTATCTTTACATAATGCATCTTGGTTCTTATTTTTTCCCCATTCCTAGCCCTCCCTTCACCCCTTCCACCCTTCCCCATTTACAAATACTATTTCCATTTTTTCCATTTCTCATCCTTTTTCCTTTCCCTTCTTTCCTTTCCCCTGCCCCTCCCACTACCCCTACCCCTTTGGACATGTCATTATATTGTATACCTAAAATGTACCAATGATTAGAATGAATAATCGATATTGCTAAAACTTTTTAAGAAACTGCCCTTATTTTTCCAAAGTGGTTAAACCATTCAGAATTTCCACTAGTTGCAACTGAGAGCTGCAGTTGCTCCACAGTCTTGCCAAGACTGAGTGTGATTAGGCTTTTTAATTCTAGAAGTTCTATTGGATGTGTAGTGCCATCTTGTGGTTTACATTTGTGTTTCCTTGATGACTAATGATATCACGCATCTTTATGTTCTTAGCCATCTATTTATCATCTTTCATTGTTGGTAGGAGTAGACCTCTAGCCAATCTGCAGTAATCGGGTGGTATTTAATCACAGTTAGCATTCTCATACAGGAGGCAGGTATAAAGTGTCATCCTTCACAGTGTGAGCAGCAAGCTGGGTGAGTGCCTGTGGAGACATCACAGGGCACCAAAAGAGGTGATTACTAAAGAGATCCACCCCAGAGTGCGTGGAGGAGAACTGTGCCTAGAGGCTAAGTCTCGGGAGCATTGAGAAGGCACAGACTCCAGGGAGACATTGTCTTCATCTACCCCTCCACTAACAGTATAGAGGCAGCCTGGAGAGGCTAATGGGGCTGGGGAGACTGCCAGAGAGCCCCAGCACCCAGAGAAAAGAAGGCTGGGACTGAGCTGTCTCCAAGATGTGCCATGCATGCAGTACTGTTCCCCACAGCTCCATCTTGTTCTGAAGGTCCTAGATCTCCAAGGGGCACCTTCCCCTCTCTGATCCAGTCCACACCAACCTAGCAGTTTCACCTGGGTGCTGAAAAAAAAATGTCATCATGCTCAAATCCCACAGCTTCAATAAATCTCCCTTATGGGGTAGTGCAATGATGGATGAGAAAAGCTCTGGCTTTAGGGTCTGGCAGACTTGTGTTTGCTCTGCTCTGTCATGAACTAGCCATGTTATGGAGCAGGTATGGAGCAGGTTTAATGCTCTAAGCCTCAGCTCTTCAAACATTAATGAGGACACAACATTCGAAGACTCCTACAGCCTATCTGGCACATACTGGGTGCTCAGTAAAATTCCACTCTACCACATTTTGGACAAGCAAATGCCAAATACCTCTGGGCCAACTCTTTCTTTCCTCTCATGTCCCTGCCCTCTAGTTTTTATTTTAGTCCCAGGAGTTCTCTCTAGTGTGGTACCCTATCCTAGAAGAGAGCAGGTCAATCTCAAGAGCTCATAAAGACTGCACTGATCTAGCCCTTTCCTTAGCCTAGGGCCTTCACACCATCCACTGGTGAGGAAGATAGGACCTAGCTTCAGGTGATGCTTTCAGATTGGCCACTCAACTCCTCAGTAACCACCTGTTGTCTACTTTGGGTTCTCCCATCCTCAGGGCCATTATGTACTATTCCTGTTCCTGCCTTCTTCCCCCACTCCCAATGTTTCTGGAGCAGTAGGCGCTTTATCCCACCCACTTGTATTTTGGGTTCATGGGGTTGCCTTGTCTCTTAGTTTTGTTGTCAGTTTTCCCTCAGTTTTTCATTTTGCTATGTAGTTACTGTTTTTTACATGGGGATTCGGAGATGGAAAAACTATGCTGAACCACCACTAACTTGCTCCTTTGGGGTGGAATTTCAATGGTTTTTTTCTTTTTTTCAAATGATTTTTTTGTCTTCAAATTCTAATAGTCTTGGATGATTCTGTATTACTGTTTAAGATACCCCCATAAATGATATAGTCCCACCAACCATATATCTCAGTGTGTTAGCAACCCACAGCCAGCTGACAAACTAGCAATGTAGGTATCCAGAATTCTAATTACCTTAGGAGCCTCGTGGAGGTGAAGCGTTGGTTATCACAGCTGAGCAGGATTGCTCTCTTCCTTGTGCCGCCTTGATTTTACTCCCTGGGTCTTGTGCGTGTGTGTTCCACCCTGGAAACCAGGAGCTCCCTGAGGCAAAGATCACACACAATTTCATCTTCAAATCTTTAGGCCCTAGCATAATACCTGGGTAGAGTAGGGACCTAATAAGTATTTCTTGAGAGAAGGATTTGATACTAAAATAATTTTTATTCTTTAAAATAACTCATTCTCACTATAGGAAACTTAAAAAAAAAAAGACCATATAGAAAAATCTTTAACTGTCTCATTCTTGAGAGATAGCAACTATGACCTTAATGAGGTACTTCGTTTTGTTTTTATGCATGTTTTATACCATTTAATCTGAATCATCTGTATGCTATTTGTAATACTTTTCCACTTATGTTTTTGGATTTCCCTATGTGGTTATCCTTCACTAGCATTATTTAATAGTGTATTATTCCAATGTATAATTCCAACATAAAATTAAAGGCATTTCTAAAACAGCAAGAACTGGTTTTACTCAGACTGCTTGGTGATGTCTGGATGTGACATGCCCTACGATAACTGGAAATAAACCAGGTGGGTGTAGTACTAGAACACATTCTGAAGGGGCTGTAACCTTAATTGCAAGAAAGTCCTTGGTATTCAGCAGCAACAGAATCTTGCTCCAACTCATTACCAGATGCTACTCCCCCAAATTCCACTAGGTGGCAGAACAGGCTAGATAATAGCAGCGATTTGCGTTCTTAGTGGGTGTCTCACCACCTGTGGAGCTCCAGCCCCAAAGTTTGATTCACTTGGCCTGGCCATAATTTGCATTTCTAACAAGCTTCCAACTGAGGTGGATGTGCTGTCAAGGAGCCACACCTGAGAACACTGGATTAAGGAAACCAATGGGAACTCGCCCAAGGCCCATCCCCTCCCGGCCCATCTGTGCATTTCCACTTCCGGTTTATTTTGTACCAGACCAGACAGTATGAGCACACAGAGCTTTGTTCTCCAGATATAGTCTAGTAGGGGTAAAGAGGGCATTTTAAAAAGCAAAACAAACCTTATTCTACCTCTCTGACTCTTCTAACACAGAGACATTGTGTTCATTTCTGGTGTTTTTCCGATCCCCTCAAATAGAATCAAGCCTTGTGCCCTTAAAGCCTGAATGATCAACTAGCTCAAGAGTTGCCTTACATGGCTGAATTTACTGAACTAACAAACTCAGGAATATGAGCTATCCTGAAAAATCTCCTCTCTGAACTTGGGAAGCCTGATAGAAAAGCACGCATTAATGACTCTGCATTAATGAGTCAATACATAAAACACTAGGATTACTAAATGCTGGGAATCTGCACTTGGTTGCTTTCTGGATTAATTCCTCATTTTGAACTTCAATACACATTATAGTTAATCTTGGGAAAAAAATTTTTATGATTGCTGATGTTTTCCTTTCAATATTACTGATCACCTGTGATACATAAGAAAAAAGTTAAATTAAAATATTGGTGGGCTGGGGATTTAGCTCAGTGGTGCTGCTGCTGCCTGTCTTGCAAGGTCCCTAGTTCTATTCCTGGTAGCAAAAAAAAAAAAAAAATTACTATCTATCCAGCATTGTTGACTCGCTCTTTTCTTTAGTATTAGGTTTCACTATACCCGCTCTAGGAGACAATGCATAATTTGCAGCATATAACAGTAATTAATGGTATGTAAATACCATTGATAGGTCACTTGATACAGTCGTTTTTCCAAGGCCTCTCCCACCCCCAGTATTGGTGATTGAGCTCAGGACCTTCCATTTGGAAGGCAGGCGCGGTGACACTGAACTAAATCCCCAGCCCTCAGATGTTTTCATGTAATAAGCTTTCATGTATGCCTTGGGTTGAATTATTATTTCTAAATTGACATCTAGATTAGTGAAGTTTTATAATTCATCTCACAAGTACATGAAAATGTAATAAAATGTTTTCACGAGTGTTTGAAAATGTAATATAAATGGGTCAAAGATGCACAGATCAAACGAAATACAAATAAACATACATGAAAATGTCTTCACATGTTAAAGAAATGTCAGTTAAAGCAACCTTGGACTAACCCTGTAATACTCATTAGATTGACAGACATATTTACAATAACCACTCCAAACTGATGTTTTGAAAAATGCACCAACCCATCATTGTGATAACGTAAACCAATTTAGTCCCCTTGTAAAGTCACATGCTAAATATAAAGCAAAGGCCATAGAATGTTCTTCTTAAACCCAAACACTTCTGGGGTGCCAGAAATGTTCTTTCTTGACTTGGGGAATGAGTAGAGAGGTGTTCACTTTGCAGTTATTCAGTAAAACTATTTTTATGTACTCCCCTGTATCTGTAACAGAAAAATATTTAGATTTTTTTCCTTTGCTTTTTTCAATAAATCTACTGAAAAATTATTCTAAGAAAATCTAGAGTTCTGTAGCATTATCTAAAAAGCAAAACTAGAAATTACCTAATTACACAAACAGGAATGGTCTAGTAAATTACAACAATGAAGAAATATTGCAATGTATTATGTCAGTTATAAAGACATTACAGCACATTTCTGATAGCACACTACCAAGCCATGATTTGCAGTCATATAAATCTATACAAATGTGCACAAGGGGCCAGGGATTTAGCTCAGTGGTCCCACCACCTGCCTGGAAAGCACAAGGTCCCAAGTTCGATCCCCAGTACCAAAAAAAGCAAAATACAAATGTGCACAAGGATCAGAAAAGCATATTAAAAATCATACTGATAGAGGAACTCCAGATAGTTTTCTCCATAAATTTTTAACAATCTTTATCACAAAGAGAATAGATAATATAATGCAAAGGACAGGAACATCCCCCTGGCAAGGGACTGCTCATGTCTAAATCACAATGTGGTCATCAAGTATTCTGCCCAACTGTACTCAGTACACTTTGGTTCCTCACAAGATGCAGAATAGAGAAATCGAAGAGAAACTGTGGAACTGACTGGTCTTTTATTTCACTTGTGACATTTTATTCTGAATTTTCAATGTTCCAATGTTCTCTTAAGTTGTTTTTTCTTTTACCTCACACAGTCCTTAAAATAATCTACGGAATTTATGAAACTATCAAGAATTTACTGAACAGACAGTTCCCTACACATAATCTTAGTGTTGCTGGGGAGACAAGATATTGACTTGAATTTTGAAAACATGTATGGATTGGGGGCCGGGGATTTAGCTCAGTGGTTTCGCTCCCTGCTGTGCAAGTGCAAGGACCTGAGATCGATCCCCGGTACCAAAAAAAAAAAAAGAAAACATGTATGCATCAAGGGTGAAACTTAGTATGTCAACCTCAAAAGGTACTTATGTGTTTTATTGTCAAATGCACTGCACAACTAACTACCACAGACAAAACCGCATGCTCAGGCTGAGTGGAAGATGGTGGTCAGCAGACTTGAGAAATAGTGGGAGATCAACAGGAACCTAAAGCCTGGCCCTAGGACTGGTGGGAGGGAACACGAGAGGGAACATGGAAGACTTTCCATGAGGAAGGAAGAACAACATCCAAAGTACAAGCAAGGGCAGGGAAGGAAAGATAGCAAGAATTGTTTCCTGGAAGAAATGAGCTGAGGCTTCGGGTTAGGTAAGAAATCCAGACACAGCCTGTGAGTAACAAGAGCCAAGTACTCATAAACACAACTAACTGTAAGGGGCACACAGGAGTGGGGAAGGGGAAGACAGGAGCTCCATTCTTAAGTGACTTGACACAGGGAGAGAATGGGAAGGAAAATGAGGTAGGAAAATTACAGATCTGGAGGCTGAAAATCAGGGCTTCATCCACACCATTTGCTAAGTACAGAAATGAGTCTGACCTATAACAGTGCGGTTGGGAGATCAGTTACAGAGCCATATTAAGCAAATGAGAAGTGGTACAAGCCTGTAATTCCAGCACTCTGGGAGACTGAGGCAGGAAGACTGCGAGTTCAAACTCAGCCTGGACAACTTAACAAGACCCTGTCTCAAAATTGCACACATACATATATACATACATACATACATACATACATAGGGTGGGGGATGCAGTTCAGTTTGAAGGCCCTGGGCTCAATCTCCAGCAACAAACCAACCAACCAACCAACCAACAAAAACCCCACACTGAAACATGAGGACAGAAGGGTGGAAGACAATCCCGAGGTCTGAAACCTGTAAACTGGCACTTTTCCTTGCATTTGCATCTATTCATGAAGGTCACAACAATTCCTCCCTTGCATTTTGTTACACTGTTGAGAACATGCAGGAAAAAGTAAACTAGCAGAGCCACTTTAGAACACAGGCAGGGCAGCTCCATTTCTAAAAATACATAAAATTTTGTGTGTTGGAGGTGGAACCCCTGGCCTTATTCATATTAAGCCAGCACTTTATACTGAGCTACATTCCCAGGCCAAAACATACTTTGAAAGGCCCCTGAACCAGCTGGGGTGGGGGAAGCAAGAAAGTCTTTAACTACACAGTGTATTTTTAAGGAAATGTAACTTTATTACTTTCAAGTACAAACAACTTGGGCTTGGCTAACCAAATGTTACCTCTCTGAAGGAACCTGCTTTCATGTATTTTTTATAATTAGCACAATCACTCATGGGTAAAAGAACGGTTCTAGGACACATGAAAATAACCTCATCTTGTAGTCATCTTGTTCGACAATCACTCCACTATTAGCTTACGCAAATCCCCCCACCCCCCACCCCCTACCACAGTTCAAATATAAACTTCATCTCATTCCCTCTAGATCACAACATACATCAAGTTATTGAGACACGAGTTTGTGAATTTTACCATGTTGCTGGATGTTGGATTGGTGAGACCAGCCTTTTTTCAACCTGAGCATGCTCATCAAGAGTCCTAAGTCCAAGTTAGTGAAATAGGACTGTTCATTAAGTGTAAGAACACCAAGTAATTATGAGGTTTTGTCACCTGAATTCATTTGCCAGGCTTGAATATACAGAAACATATTTATTTGGGTACATTTGTGAAGAGTAAAAGTAGCTGGAGTATGTGTGGGATGGATAATTACGTGGGTTTACATTGGTCAGGACTGAAATACTAACTTGAGGCAACTGAACTGTTCTAGGGAAGACAACACATACACAAACAGCAAAATGTCTTTTTGTGCTGAGCATGATCATCAGGGAGAGGTGCAAAGATAATCCAGGAATTCACTGAAGGATTTATTCTGAAAGATTTTACTTTTGTAGAGCGGGCATAAGGAACCTCTGGTCAGAAACACTGCCAAAGATGGTTAGTGGGCATTTTACAAGAAGCATAACTTAAGAGGCTGTGCATGAAGGCACAGGCCTGTAATCCAGGGACTACAGCACTCTGGGAGGCTGAGGCAGAAGGACTGCAAGTTCAAACCCAGCCTAGGCAACTTAGCGAGACCCTGTCTCAAAATTAAACAAAAAGGGGGTGGTGGTATGATATGTATAGCTAGCTCAGTCTGAAGGCTCTGAGTTCAACTGTCAGCACTGACCAAAGAAACCCTACAAGGCGACTATTCTGTTGTTTTCATCACTCACCTGAGAAGCGCACGATTCTCAAGTGTCTTGTCTTAATCATCATAGTAAAAGCACCAGCATAATCAGGTAGAAAAGCTGTGTCTAGCCGACCTAAAGGGCTCCTCCCCTATCCTGACAGCTCTGTGCATGAAAGGGAAGGGATCAGTGAGGCCTACCCTGGTGACATCTGGGAATAGTGATGAGACTTGATGGGATTCTGCTTGCTTCCCTAGAGAAAGGAAAGTGGTTTGTGCACCGAGCCCCAGAAAAGGAACCACAGGAAGCTGTAAGAGTGACAGTGAATGAGGAGATTCATCTCTGGGCCCTCAAGAAACCAAGACACATTATCACATTTAAAGGAGCTGGCTGGGTTCAGCCAAAGCAATGTTGCAAAGCCAGGCTCCACCATCTTTAGGTTAAAATAGTATGTCTAAAATAATACTGCTTCTATTTTCTTCTCTCCCTGTTTTACAGATGCATAGTAGTAAACATTCTCCTGTTAACAAATAACAAAATGATTACACAGTGCTCACTCATTCCTTACCAAGCATTTTCAATGGCTATGGTGGAATAAATTTTAAACTATGAAAAATGAAGTCTAAACCTTAGATTTTCTTTTCTTGGTACCAGGAATCGAACTCAGGACCTTGCTCTTGCAAGGCAGGTGGCAGATCCTCTGAGCTAAATCCCCAGCCCCAAACCTTAGATTTTAAAAGTAATACTCCCCCGTGTTCCACTTGTGAAACGCTATGCAAATACATGTACCTTCCTGCAGAGGGGCTTGCCTTCCTCGGTCTCTGACAGATCTACACTGTCAGGTTAGGGCCAGATATGGCAATGCTTATTACTTCCAATAAGGGAGCTGAAGGAAACTGTCTTTCAAGGGGTTGGGAATAAAGTTTACCAAAAACCTCATACCTGATCCCCCCTTCCCTGCCTTTGTGCTAAAGAAGTGAAACTTGGGGCAGGGATTTGGCTCAGTGATGCTGCACCTGCCTTGCAAGCACAAGGTCCTGAGTTTGATCCCCGGTACTGGGAAAACAAAAAAGAAGTGAAATTCGGTGCTGTACAAAACAGCCCCAAACTCAGCGAAAGGAGCCTAAGGAACTATAGCTTTGCTTATGCTCCTGCCTGGTCCTGTGCTTTATTTTGTAAAAAGGAAGAGCTAGCTTTCTATTTTTAAAAAAAATCAACTGTGAATAAATCCAGCACCTATAAAACAATTAAACAACAGGTAAAATAAACGTTATCTGTGGGGAGGAACTGAAGTTAATACTCCCACCACTGCCTCGAGTCCTCCTGTCAAAATCCAGCAGCATCATCTTGCTAACTTCCATATTCACCACTGAAAACTAAAAAGGGACCTAGGTTTTAAGTTGGTTTTTTTAAAAAACTGTTCCCACAAATGACAACTCTGACTTGCCCTTTGAAGCTATTAGATATATCGGAAAGTGAGATGCAGGGTAGAGATGATCATTAAATCAGTAATCTCAAGTATTTAACCAGCTAATTGAAAATGCAAATCATTTACCCTCATCATTCCCTAAGAAGATTCCAAAGGCTCTTTAAAAAGATTCCAGCTGTGGGCCAGGGATTTAGCTCAGTGGTTCCGCCGCCTGCCTCGAAAGTGCAAGGTCCCAAGTTCGATCCTCAGTACCAAAAAAAAAAGATTTCAGCTGCATTCTGGTTCCATTTCTGGAAGGACAAAGCAGAGCTCATGCACAGAATTCAATGTGAGATGGAACCATCCATGGTACATGTATGACTGTCCCACGCATGACTGTACCACGTCTACCACCAGCGGAACAAGCTGCCCAATGGACAGTCGTGTATGTAAAACTGGTGGTGCCAGCCAGCAGGAACTTGGCAGGCAGAGGAAGATACTATTTTTTCACCTAATCCCCTTGGAATCTCAACATGATTATTAACTAAACCTGCCTCTGAAATCAACCACTGATTCTAAGGTCCACAGTCCTGCTCAATGCTAATTATGCAGATTGTGGAAGAGCTGTGTCTGCACATTAGAGCTCACATCATTCTTACCTCTGCCAGCAACCCTTCACCCATCTGTGAAACGATACGCTTTGTGTCAGAGGCAGCAAGCAGAAGGAATAAGCTGTGTGCCTAGGCAGAGGCTTCACTGAGGTCCCAACTCTCAAGTCCATCTTCATACCACTTTCTTGCTGGGTCTACCATAAAATAAGCCACCCCTTTTCCCCCTCCCTAACACAAAGAAAACAGCTTCTACTGCTACTCTTCCTGCTTTCTCCGTCATTTGTGACAATTATGTTAAAACATTTCCACTGCTAAACTACAGATGGAATCATGTAACTTTGAAGAGGGTGGGAGACACAAATTGACAGACTGTAGATATTTTTTAGCCCATCTTATCTTAAATAATCCCCACCAGCGGTCAATATTTTAAAAAGCAGGGGATATCAAATAAAAATCTGGATTTCTACCTACCCCTGAGAACAATCACGCCTGTCAACACTGAGCCTGTTTCTGCTAATGATAAAACAGCCAGAGCTGAGGATCGTCTCTCTTAGGTGCATTTTCCAAGGTTCTACACAGTCCCACCCAACATGTTCCATTTGTTTACGTTTCCTGCATGACTCCCTAGGGGATTTGAGTTTGCAAATCCTAATCCAGAACAATTCCTTCATTTTAAAAATGAAGAAAGTGAGAGAAAGCTAACTTGCCTGATGTCACAGACCAAGTTGGGGGCAAATGAGGAAGTCAGAATTGCATATTTTTCCTTTCCAGTTAGCACACTACCTCCCTACAGAAGCCTAACTCCTACCAGCACCTCTTCCACCAATTACTTGTTTTCTAAGTGGAATCTACATGGTCTACATTCTCATTTTATTTGTCCTTTTTATGTAAATGATTTCCTTATAGATAACAACTTTATATCAGAGATTCATTTAAATATTACCTGCAACTTGAAGAAACAATCAGAATCAGACAAAATTACACTATCAACTTTGTACACGTCAGTGGATACAGTAAAGAATCTCAGCTGTACACCTGGCTGCACAAACAAGGACAGTGGGGCCAAGAGAAATGATATACCTGAGCTCGCAGGTTCCTAGGAAATACCAGTCACCAATCTTTCAGCCCAGGGCTCCTTGTACTACTTCGCATCACCTCTGTGCTGTAACCCAGCCAGGGGGTATGGTGGGGAGGAAGGTTTCTCCTCACAGAAACAAACTATACAACTCCCTTACATTTTAATCATGCCAATCAGACTCTGCCAAGAACTAGGGTTTAGAAAGAGTTGCAAACAATCAATTTATAGAATTAGATTTGCACTGAAAGATGGACTTTCTGTAGAACTGCTATTTGGTGGAAAGTTCATGAATGTCACAGGACTCGGTGGTCTTTGTAACACTGGCTCTTACAAAAGCTAAGCCCCATGTGAAAGAAGTTGCTGGAACAACATCATAGCACCTTTGCTTCAACTTCAAACAAAAAAAAGCTATGGTAAAAAGCTTTAATAACAGATTGATCGTGATTTCATAGGCAACCAATTAGCAGACGAAACATTTAACTTTACTTAAAACCAATATTCCACTCAAGGAAGATGAACCCAAAATGCATCCTCTTACACTGACCAACACAACTAAGTACAAATGAAGTCAATGGTGTACCCCATTAGCATGCTGCGCTGTATGTCAATAAAACAAGCCCTCCCCCACCCCAAGCCCTGGCCCCTGGCAAACATAGATAAATGATTGTGCACTGCGTGATGATACCATTAGGTGAGAACTTTGGTTCATGCAGTCGGCTGCCAGAGAGGTTGCACCCAAAACCTGCAGCCCTGGCACCCAAAGTCAGTCAGTGGTGGTGGCTCAAGGTGTCAGCCATGCTCCTTCCACAACACCAGGTGAATACTGTGGTCAGGCATGCTGGTGGCAAAGACCAAGCCTGTGTCATTGTGCCCATCCAGTCCATTCAGCCAGGAAGCTTCGCCTGCCAGGAAGCTCGAGCCCCTCTTTGATTTCCGGTACTCTGGCAAAGGCCAGCGGCTAATCAGGCTCTCTGTCCGCAAGTCCATGATGTACAGGTAGCGGTTGTCAAACAGCAGGGCAAAGACATCTCCAAAGCCAAGCAAAGCCAAGTTTGCTATCTCAGGAGTCTTGATGACCCTACAAGGATGAGAGTGAAGGGATCATGAAGCAGAAGTCAACTGTGCTTCTGTTGATGATACTGTAATCATTTCTAGGGACACTTAAAACCACCATACTATTCAAACAAAGTTACAGTTAAATGAAAGTTTTTGCTAAAAATGAAAATATGAAGACAAAGCCCAGCCCACTAATGGGGAGGGGGCTTTTAGTCTGGCATGCAGGCAAGGGGTAGTGTGTAAAGTTTATAAAACTATAAAACATCCATCCAGGCTAGGAAGGATCTTCTAGATCATCTTTAGCATTCTTATTCTTAAGGTGAAAAACTGAAGCCCAGGCAGTGTAAACACTTTGGCTAAGGATTCACAATTTGTCAGTTACCAGTTAGAACTAGAATGCAAGAGTCAGCTCCTATCACCCAGAAGACTTACGTATCAGATCCTAGAAGACCAAAACATCCTAAAGGCCAGAACAAACCTAAAGTTAAGTGACTGAAGTGCTACTCTACTCAACAGGCACCCGACAAATGGGTTTCTCTCTAAAAATAGTAGAGGCTGGAAATATATAGTTTCCAAAATAATTCAGAAACATTTAACAATAACAGGTTCATAAGACTTTTGGAGAAAAAAACCGCAGGAGTTGGGACAGTGCCCCCAACTTTCACAGGTTGGCAATTTTCAAAAACATCAATGACAAAGGCACAAAATAGGAGAAATATATGTAAACAGCAGAACAGATGAAAAAGAAAAAAAATTTGTTTTTGTTGTCTGATCTTTAGTGAAGCACAAGGTTGACTAGAAAATGTGATGTCTTTTTGGAAGCACTAGTAAAAGCTGTAAGACAAGAGGTATACAAATACTGCTCATACAACATGACTGGCTCCAGGAAGAGAAAGTTTAGTTTATGTGTTAACAAGAACGCTACCAAACTAGTGTATATCCACGAAGTCAATGAGAACAGGGTGCTCTGGTATCTGGCTTAAGTAAGGAACAGGTGAAGGATATTAACTGAGAAGGGGAGAAGAGCGGCAGAGCCAGAGAAACTTCCTATCATTACTTCTCAACAGTGGAGGATGTGTAAGAGAGAGGCTAGACATAACAAGCTGTAGAAGACAGAACTAAGATCAAAGGGAAAGTTACGAAGAAGCAGATTTCAATCTAATGTTAGCAAGAAGAAATTTATCTAGCATTTACTACTTGCCAGGCATTGACCCTAATGAACAACATGTTATCTCAGTCCTCACATTGCAGTGAGGTAAAGGTATTATCTCTAGTGAATAAACTGAGGTTAGGAGTAAAGTCTTGCCATAGCTAATGTAATGGAGACCTAGCATTTGAGCCCAGATCTGACTCCTGAATCTATGCTCTTTTCTCCAAATTCAGCTGCTTTCCAGAAGGAAGAAAGCATCTCCACTCAAGATATACAATTCCTGAATGAATGTATCAGAGCACAAATGATTGGATTTCAACTGAATAGGTGTGTTTTGAGTGGCAGATATGCCGAGTGATGACTGGTCCCTCAGCAGAGATGAGTAAACAATATTTGTCCCTAAGAACAAGGAAGACATAACATATGACTGTCTGAGAATGTAAGAACGTGCTCAGCACAAACACTACAATGGACAAAGTGGGAATATCAAGGTAATCAAATTATTATTTTCTATCAGGTAGATCTGGAAGAATATTTTGCTTTTATGTATTTTTTTTCCTGAAGAAGACATGGAACTGAGCATTCCACAGTCAGGGAATACTAAATTTCTAAATTCTAAATTTTACAAATTTTCCACATGGGCAAGGTTTTGATGAATGCTGCTGCCAAGTGCAATCAATCAATGGAAAGGCAGGCTCATCAAGACATTATAGTGCACCACCATCCACCTTATTTACCATATCTGGCACCATGTGACTTCTGTGTCTTTCACAAAGTCAAAATGACCATGAAAGGTAAATGTTTTAAATTCAAGAAATCAAGGGAGACTCAACAATACAACTAAAGACATGAAAGAGGACTTCCAGAACTGCTTTCCAGAACTGCTTCCCAAAACTGCAAGAACACTGGAATAACTAAAAGTGAGGGAGAGCATTTTGAGGGGGATTAATACCAATGTGTCTTCTTTTGCAGTACTGGGCCTGGGGCCTTTGTACTGAGCTACATTCACAACCCTTTTTTGAGACAGGGTTCCCCTGTCTCTCACTAAGTTCCCCAGGCTTCGCTCAAGTTTGTGATGCCCCTATCTTAGCCTCCCAGAGTGCTCAGATTACTGGTGTATACCCCCATGCCCAGCTTACTGTAAAAAATATTTTAAAATTTAAACATTCACCATATTTTTTGATCACACATTGGAACTGATAATCTATGTAAAAGAAATTCTGTGATACTAAGGATACTATGGGGCAATACTAGGAATATCTATGAAAATAAAACAGGTAAGTGCTGGTCTTTTGCTTGCAAAATAGATCAAAGAATGAGCTCACCCTCCTAGATCGAAAAGAAACTGCTGCTAAAAGAGGAAACCATTTGCATGGATATGTTCAAGAACAGCATTCATCCACAATCAGCACTGACCACGCTCTATGGTGCAATCCTTTATGAACATGTCTACGGGATGGAGCCTGATTCCAGGGAAAGTTGGGATTAACGACAAGTAAAAGGGAAAAGGTGTTCCAGATGAGTTACAATCAGTAACTCACTCTCCATTTTCCATTATTATGACTCATGTTCATTCACTCAGCAAACATTTATTGAAAACCCTTGTAAAGTTTATAGATTCAACAGGCAGATCTGAGCTCAAATGCTAGGTCTCCATTATATTAGCTGTGTGACTATGTCAAGACTTTTTACTCTTAACCTCAGTTTATTCACTAGTGTAATGGAGACAATAGCTTTACCTCACTGCATTGTGAGGACTGAGATAACATGTTGTTTATTAGGGTCTATGACTGGCATGTAATCCTGTTGGGAACAGGACTAAGGAGTAAATAAGGCAAAGTTCCTTATATATAATCTCTCCAAAGCTGAATTTATTAGACAAACTTGTTTCCCTATTTCAGTGATGGTGAAACTTTTAGAGCTTGCAATGATAATAGCACACTGCAGCACAGATGCTTTAAGTTTGCCACCACTGCCTATTTCCTCACTCATGCACTTAACTAAAGTTAGCACACATGGCACCCACCTAACTCTCCTTACTCAAATCACAGATTCAATCACCAAATTCTACTGATTTTACCTTCTAAGTTCTTCTCTGATGTATTCATCACACTCTCTAGTTATCATAGTCCTGGTCCAAGATATCACCTTGGCCTACACTATTGCTAACAGCTTTCTTTTGGTCTGTCCTCATCTACTCTTAGTCCCTTTTAATTAGTAACCCTCACACTAAAATGTGATCCTGTTACCACTTTGTTTAAACTTTTAAATATATTGATGGCTCTCTACTGTCTTCCCATCTCCAGCCACATTGGTGAATTGTTCAAACGGACCAGTCTCTCAGTCTGCAACACACCGCACTACACAACTACTCCCTGGCACTTATATATAGAGCTCAACTCAAAGATCTCTTCCTCAAGAAAGTACCCTGTATTATGTTCCTTTTATTACAAACATTAAAAAATTTGTATGTAATCAAGATTTTTGGTTGCCTGTTTTTTTATTACTGTCATTTTACTGTCCTGGGAACTGAATCTAGGGCTTCCCACAAGCTAGCCAAGTGGTCCACCAGTAAGCTATCACCAACCCTTGTAATTAGCTACTAAGTATCAATATTTCCTTTCACTTATTAGTAATTTCCATGAGTCTAGGGCTGGGGATTTAGCTCAGTGGGACTGCGCCTGCCTCTCAGGTGCAAGGTCCTGAGCTCGA